GGTGCTCAAGGGGGTAGCTTGAGAAACATTGCTCTAAAGTTTCTGTTTGATGACAATTATTAATTCCATAATATTTAAATATAGTTTCCTCAAGCACCAGAATTTTCACTGGTGGCTAAGTTGTAACATTTTGATCTGCTAACAGCCTTTCTGAGAATGGTGTTTATATTGTAGCCATAATGCATATTCAAGGCCGGGGAGATGGCTCAGTAGAATAAGTGCTTCCCTGGCAAGCACAAGGGCCTGAGTTCAATCCCTGGTTCCGCAAATAAATATAAATATAAATAAATAAATAAATAAATAAATAAATAAATAAATAAATAAAATGGGTATACATAATACATATTCAAAGTACCGAGCTCCAGACATAATCTGTGGCCTAGGTACAGGTCATGGTCTTTTCCTCTTTCATAAGCTTCTTTTGCTCAGCCACCTTTACTTCTCCCCCAGTTCTGAGATGGTGCTAACCACTGAGGAGCAGGTAGGTATTCATAAATCCATTGCTAGCTTCCAAGAAAAGCCAGGAGAAAAAGGAGTCATGTCAGGAAAAATAGTTATTTATGTATTCTGATGTAAAATGGCAAATACTTGCTTTTATTAACAAGAGGAGAGAAGACTCTTCTTTCTGTCATGAATTTTTGAAAAATTTAAATTATGTATCAAGAGGTCTCTACACAGATGAACAAATGTAGCGGATCCAAACAGAGCAGTTTTTGATGGTGACATGATCAGTTAAGTGTAATAGATAGATGAATTCTAGTTTTATACTTTTCAAACTACCATCCAGTGGACAACATTCAGTTAGAAATTATAGTTAGAATGCTAGCTAAGGCTAGGAACAAAGAACTCTTCTTTTTTTCTTTTTTTACTCTTAACTCTATAACTCAGACTAACATGATGAATAGCCAAATGTGAATAAAACATGAAATTCAGAGAAATTGTATTTACCTGCATTAATAGTCATTTAAATCATAAACTGCTATATATACTCATCACTGTATTTTAAGAATAAAGTTACTATGACAAATTGGGGAAGAAAAGTTGCATCAAGTTCAAAAGGAAAAGTGTCCTCTTTCCAGCCAGTCCCTCACTAGTTGAACGACCTCTTGTGTGCCCTCTTTACCCAGCTACATCCCGTTCCCTCCTTTCTTTGAATGGTCTGATGTGACAAGACATGCTCCTATGTACATTACGGAGCTACCTACTCTTGAAAACGTGGATTAAAAAAATATATTTTACATTGCAGTTATCTCATGCATTTTTTTTTCAGAAAAGTTAAAAGCATTCATCGGTTTCTAGTTCCTCTCCAACTTTTGAAAATGACTATTTTATCTGATATGTAAATAAAACTGCAAATAAAACATATGCCCCTGTGTTATTTTAAAATTCATTATGTACTAAACTCAAATTCTATTGTCAACCAACATATGCAAGATTAATACTGCATTTCAAAGGACAGAATTACTTAATGAGTAACACTGCCCAAAGCCGTATTCTTTCTATGCATACAAATTAAGGAAGAACTCCATCCAATGCTATATGTCTCTGTGAATACAAAGTGAGAAGTTGCTCTCCCTGTTTAAATTTGGATTCAGAAAAGAGCATCCTGGGCAATCCCTTATGTCCTAACCTCCTCGAGTTTGTGGTACATCATTTGGAGAAGCTGCAACGTTTGGGGAATTTGGAAACTAATTTCGTTCCCAAACAAACTGATGCACTGCTGCTTAGAGAACGTGACAACATCTATACAGCGGCCTGGGATTGTGGCTAGAAGTTGCTTGTGGTTGTTTAGCTGCAAGAAGGGAAAAGGTGTACAGCGTATTAGACAAATTATGAGACTGCATGCATCGATACCGGTCCTTGTTAAGGGCTGGGTTGCTAGGGGAAGTCCCAAGCTGGGAGTGATGGGACATGTATTTCTTTCTTTTCTTTTTTTTTTTTTTTTCATTAGCAGAATATATTTATTGAGGGAAAGAAAGCTCCTGTTTGAGAGAGGGACCAGAGGGGGGCCTGTGCAGGTTGTCTCCGGACATGTATTTCTTGGAATATTTTAATGGTGATTTAGCATATCTAGGCATGCAGAACTCAAAAATCACACCACTATAATGTTCTTTTTGCAATTCTGATTGTTCCTAGTTTTAAAAAAGAAAACAATCTTATCTTCTACTGCTGAAGTGCTTCTAACACCTCTTTTAATTACAAATCACCTTTGTAGCAGAGTCAGGAATGACAAAGGTTTCTGCAAAAGAGCAGTATCTACCTGTAACATAACAACAGCAACTTGTTGACTGTTATACATAGCAACTTTCTGTTGATAGCGTCACTGTCCTCTTGGTTATCACAGCAACAGAAAGTATGTTTGCAAGGGAATCTAGGCAAACCCAACAGGTAAGGTTGGTTTATGGAAAAGCCTTTAAATAAATACTAAATGGCAGACAAAGATTTCTAGTATCTGATAAACAAATGTTTGAAGCTTGGGAAACAGTAGGCTGGTAAAAAAAAAATATATACACTGAGTTGGAAGATTGGAAACTTGGTCACAAAATTTAATTGTAACTCTGTCACTAATTAACAGGTTGTACTTGGGTAGGATGATGAATCTTTCAATTTCACATCATCCAATAAGTGGAGTGATATTTGCCAAACCTTTGGAGTGATGACAGGAAGATTACAATAAGTGGTGGAAAGCGAAATACAAGAAAATTGGGAAGTTTCCTGTGTATGTTTCCTTATTATAGCCACGTTTCTTTTCCACCAGTCAAACAAAGAGCAACAAAAAACTCATCACCATCTATAAAAGGACGATAGTATGTCTACTTCCTTTCTAGGGTCAGGACTTTTATTAGTGGTAGAGGAGGCTTAGTGTGTTGATAATGACTTCATTTGTGCATTTTCTGTATTATGTGACTCAGCTAAATTTAAAACTGTATTTGCCTTTTTCAAGTAGATCATATGTTATTTTTGGTCATTTTCCATGATGACTAAAAGCTTGGAAAATAAGCCATTAAAATTAATCTGATGATACAGCATATTAATAGAAGTACATCTTTTTTATTTTTATTTATTTATTTTTTTGTGTAGAACCAAGGACTGAACTCAGGCCCTTGTGCTTGCCAGGCAAGCGCTTACTCTGCTGAGCTATCTCCCCAGCCCCTAGAAATACATCTTAATAGAAGTATTATGACTTAACTGAATAGAGCTGATAAAAGTAATAGAATTCACTTTGTACTAAAAATTTTCTGGTCACAAAATATTAAAACATGTTATTTATTGTAAATTTTCACTGAGTATAGCTATACCTACACTTTTTCAATGATATAATGTCTTTCATTATAGTGAATTTTTAAAATTTCTTGTTGCAATTTGTTATTTTAATTATCCTTGAAGTTCAGGTTATCATTTTGGTTAAAATATAATAATAAAGGTCAATGCCTGGTATATTTTGATATTAGTGATATTACTATGTTAAGGCTATTTTATTTTGAGAATATAACTTTGCACTTAATAACTCATGTATAAATTACAGGATACTCACACATAGAGGTAATGATAACAATTGTAGACTGGCTTCTGTTCTATTAAACAAAGCTTATGTAAGCATTATCATTGCTGAATTAGAAATGATAGACTTCATGTTCTCATTTGCATAGAAATAGTTATGCTTGGTCTAGGATAGAAATTTTCAAATATAAGCAGTTATTAAGGTCACCTGGAGAAACTGTCAAAACACTGTTTGATCAATATACAGTTTCTGATTGAGCATTTCTAGGTGGCCCTGGAGCACTGGTGCTTCCAAGTTCCCACTAATCCTGACAGCCCTGGTGCAGTTCCAGGCCACACTGCAATCCCACTGGTCTCATGGGAGGTGGTACTGCAGAGCAGTGAGGCCAAGAGGCCTTGGGCCCACTTTTGACAGTCGTGGGCTTTGTATTGTGAGTGATTTAGGGATCAACTTTGTCATCTATTAAATTATAATTATACTTATTGGGAATAGTAAGTAAAATAATGCACTATAAATGCTTAGAAAAATGCCTCACTAAATGCAACATCAGTAACTAGAAATGACGGTTGGAGCAGTAAAAATAAGAACTTGCAAGAGTAATAGCAAGGAGGACAATAACAACCCTCAAATCAATGATTTTACTTTATGGGGCTTCAATTGTATGTGATTAACACTAGTCTGAAAATATTAAATAGAAAATCCCAGAAATGAATAATTTATCAGTTTAAAATTGCACACTATCCTGAGTATAAGCATGAAGGAATTTCAGTGTTTTGCTCCCTCCCACCCAGGCTGCCGGTTATCTCTTTGTGGAGTGGATCCACGCAGTGTACACTGCTCGTGCTTCGGTCTCTTAGTCATTGCATGTCTCATTAGAGCTATTGCGATTGTACTGCAGGGATGGTGCGCAACTAACCTTTATTTTACTTAACAACGGCCATAAGTCTTGAAGCTGGAAATTCACACAGATCAAAGAGAAGCCTCACAGTGCTTCCTTAAGTGAAAAGATAAAGACCCATTACTTAAGGATCATCTGTTCATGAGTTGTGAAAAAGAAAAAAGAAATTAATACAAGTTTGCTTGTATCTTCAGTAGTAGAAGTTAAAACCACTTTGCGCAATACAAACTCAGTTTTAAGATGGAGAAAAACATTACAGAATAGGGTTCAGGATGTCTGTGGATTCAGCCATTCATTTTTGGTTTTGGAACATATTCCCCACAATAAAGGAAGATTGTAACATCCATATTACCTAAGTTCTTTTGTAAAGAAAACTTACTAGTCTTTTCTAAAGCGGGCTGGATGGAGAACTTGGACAATGAAATGCTGAGATTATTTCTATGAAAAAATATTCTACACAGGGAGGGAATTTAGTAAGAAGTAGTTTCAAGGGTATTTGGAGAATCAAATCTAAATTACACTTTGAGCAAACATATCTCCATTTGTGCAATATTCCTCAATATTTAGAACTCAGTGGTTCTGTTTCTTTCTCTCCCTTAGCAACAAGAGCAAGACCCAACCAATCTATACATCTCCAATCTCCCGATTTCTATGGATGAGCAGGAACTTGAGAATATGCTGAAACCATTTGGCCATGTCATCTCCACAAGAATACTAAGAGATGCCAATGGCGTCAGCAGAGGCGTTGGCTTTGCCAGGTAAAGCTCTCCGTGCATAACCTGTCTATAACCTGTTTTATCACCATTTCTATCTAATTCCACTTCTTTCTAATTCTAAGGCATGTAAAGACAGAATATGCAAAGCAAAATAGAATTTAAAAACAACTTATCACGTCTGTCATCTGTATTTTGCTTCAAGCCAAAGAATCTAATGTAATTATAAACACAATGTGCTTGCTAAAATATGCACACAGAGCATGTTTATGTGTGTCAAGTCACAGTGATGTGCACACTTAGTTTCAAATCTTTCCTGTGGTTGTAGATCAGCAAATTCAGATGTTGCCAATCACAGCCAGGAATAATAAACGCCCAATATCCCAAAGCAAATGAGCCTTTGCAGTAAACAAAGCAACCAAATGTTTTTCCACTGATTTCCAAAGGGGCACAGTAGTAGAATTCTCAGTAAGTAAAAGAGAGGAAAGAGGAAACATTTAGAGAAGCAACGGTGATGGGGAAGTCCCAGGAAACTCTGAAATATAAAGAGGGGTCACAGAGGCATTTGTATCTACAAGATATTGGCTGTGCTTTGATATTTGAGGCAGAACAGAGAAACAAATCAAATTGTACTTCTTTCATTGACGGAAAAGAAAAAGAACAAAGAAAGAGAAGTTCTCATTTGAACTTTAACAGAATGTTTACAAAAGAGGATGCCAGCCAGGAATAAAGTGAAACTAGTTGAACTTGCTGTGATTTCATGAAAAGAATAAAGCTAAGGAAACCAAAGAAGAAAAGAAACTGCTCAATGACAAAAAAGAAAATTAAAATCTTCGTCTCCATGACTGTGTGCATTTCTGTGGGTCTCAAGCCAGCAGAATCTACAGATGATTTGATGGTCATGAGGTGCTATCTGGAAGTAGGGACGTGGCCTGTGGGTGCGTCCAGCCATTGCTGGCAAAACTGTTCCAAACCAACCACTCAGTCACACAGAAATATAACAAATGTTGTGGAAATGCTAATTGATCTCTTGCTTGACTTTTCTTGAGATCATACATAGACCATGTCTTCAAATTCTTTTTGGTCTATGTAATGTAATTGTTCCTCTGTTGAAAGTATGCATGAGGCCTTCAAGCTTCCATAACTTCAGCAACTGTTGATTTTTCAAAGAGAAGTCAGAGTGGATGACACCAACAGGGCCTCTGAATTTGTTCAGTGTGGTCATTCTTAATACCTTGCAACCTGCTTTCAGAAGCTTCCACAGTGCAGGAGTCACCAAAATGATTGTGTGTCTTGCTTTACACTGTATGAGGTTTATATTGGTTTTCCTCCAATTCTTGTCCTCTGAACTCTCATGGATTAGTTCTCTTTTACTTACCCTTCTTTGGAGAAATAAATACATTTCTAAGTTATTAAGAAAATACTTTCCCTAAAATCAGTGGTGAACTTTTTGGTTGTTTGCTTGTTTATTTTGTTACGAGGTATATTAGTTTACCAAAGATGACAAAATAAAATACTCTAGACTGGATAGTTTTAGTAATAGAAATCTGTTGTATATACAGTTCTGGTGGTAAAAAGTCAAACTTGGTATGTTCAGCTTGATTTCCTGTGATTCCTTCTCTTTGGTTTATAGAAAGTTTCCCTCTCCCTGTTTTTATAGTCTTTCTACTACAAATTGATGTCCTAATCCGCTCATCTAAGGTTGTAATAATATTGGATTAGAGACTTGTTTTTACTTCTTTAAATAATATAATTCCAATACCTTCACATTCTAAGTAACTGGGCATAGGACTAAAACAGGAATTGCTTGTGGCCTGAGAACTGGGTTCTTAATTCTCTTGCACTGAACTTTGTAGTATACTTTGAATTTGCTGAAAGTAAAGCATATTCTTCTAAAGCAAAAGTCAAATAATGTATATTATAAGATCAAAACTGAGCAATGGCATCTGATGTCATTGGAGTGTCTAACTTATAAAATTAGTTTTCTTTAGGATCTGAGGAAAGACACAACTTTTAAATAGCTATTTTATCCCTTCTCTGAATGTAACTTCCTCCTGCAGTGCATTTGGCATACAGAAGCCTCAGTGAAAAGGCCTTACAAGTCAAATACAATCATGACAGCCTCCTGCTTATACTCCTTCAGTGTGGCCTGGGTGAGCTTAGTGGCCATTCTCTCTGGCATCACCCCTGGGACCCTCTCACCCTCCTAGCCTTGGTTCTTCCTGCCTCAGTGACCAGGGTGTGTGCTCCCATCTTGATTGCTGACAGTCTTGACGACTGTTCTCCTGGTTTCTGCCTACTCAGCTCTCTGTTACTGACTTAAGCATTTTTCTTCAAAAGATCCTTCTCTGACCTCCAATCCCAGGCTGGGCAAATGTAGATAGTAGTATAAAAGTTTTACTCCATAAAAATTGTGTAGAGCTCTTTCAATTGAAATTTATCATAATTGTATTTAACTTTTTGTTTCACCCATTGGAATGCATCATTGTTTTCCTTTTCTCATTGTTGGATAGATGGATAGGTAGATTGGTAGTATCTTTTGTTATTCCCCACTCTGTGAAGTTGTGGAATAACTTAGCTTATGTTGTTAAAAACTTGAACTTTGAATATGAATTAGCAGTCACATGTCTTTACTGAATCTTATGCCTTCATGTTCTAAGTCATATACTTCTCAATTTCAGAAAGTAGCAAGTGGATGCGTACCTCATTCTCTGTGTAACTTAGACTTTAATTTTCAAGCAGTAGGCTTATATAACAAACCTAATTAGATACGGTGAGAAAATAACTTTATGTCTGTCATAAATAAGTAAATAGGCCCCAATTTCTGCTTTCTCACAGGTTAAAATTTATGCTGTTTTTTTCTTAGACACTTACGGCTCTTGATTTAACTAACTTGATACTTACAACTTCATCCTTTCACAATGTTCCTTCTTTTGAAAATGCTGACCTCTCCCATTTCTCCCTCAGCCTTTCTCCTTGAGCATTCAGCCCTTGAACCATGAAACAGATAAGCAACTTTAGCATGACCTGAGAACTGATTAGAGATAAAGACTTTTCTACTACTAATCACAGTGTCAGCATGCTGATGACAGGAGAGTAGCACCCGACGTCTGTGTCCACATGCAATTCAGGCGACTTTGCTGCTCTGTAAACTTTAGGAAACAATGGCAACGGCATTAGGCCTGGCTCTCAGGGTCATCTGGAAGGTCCTTAGAAACTCAGAGCGCTGAGTCCTGCTCTTAAAGAGCTTCTAACTCAATAAGTCTGCGGTAGGACCCAAAGCGTGTTAGCTCCCGCGTGACACTGCCTCTGCAGATCTGGGGACCATATTTTAAGGGTGATTATACCATCATTGTCCATTTTTCCAGGTGAAAGTGATTCCTGCTGCCGCCTTTTCATACTATGTGTCACTTTCTCCTGATTACTGATTCCAAATCTATCTCTCTTCCTTTTCCTCCGGAAGAACTTGTCCTTCTCCCTACCCTTTCTAGTACCTACAATATTGTTTCACTTATGTCTTCAGAAAGCTTTTGATGATACTCAAATAAAAACTTTTCAATTTGTTTTCAGTTTTCCTTTTCTTTTTTTCACTATGGCAACATATGGGGGACATTTGATGACAGTGCTAAATCGCTTCTGAAATAGAGTACTAGAATATTAGAGAACACCATAGTAGCCTCAGATGATGCACTTTATAAATTGTTTGTTCCTCAAAAAATTTACAGTGCCACTAGAATTATTGAAAGAATTTGTATATTGAATCGGGAGTAGTAAAAATAGCATATAATTGCATTTAGTAAATTTGTATTTGCTTCTCTTGAATTTGCAACTATCTGAATTAAGAAAATCTGAATAATTCTTTGAGTGGAGGCTCATTCTGAAAATACTTAGCCACGAGAAGTGGTCCATCCTTCATGGGCAAGAGATCTCAAAATTGCTTTGATTAGAAAGAAAATCCCCCATTACTATTTCACTTGTGATCTATACATTGCATTTTTTTTTGATAATTATCTCTTTGAAGTAAAAGGAGTATCTTCATTTTATATTTAAATCGCTGAACTTCAAAGCACTGATCTGGTGACCAGCAGGAAACAGGCAGCACAACTAAATGCTTTTTAAAGTTCCAGAAGTACTAACTAGCGTCTGAAATTACAGATATTTTCTTTTATTTTTTATTGTTTTCTAATTTTTTATTTATTTTTTTGTTCTCTTGTAACTTAAAAAAATTTGCTAACGCACACCATCCTCACTCAGCATTTTATGGCTAAGTCATAAACCTCCGGGAACAGAAGTTTATGGTGGTGATGCTGACAGTTAGACCACTCCTGCAGAGTGAGTGGGTGCCGGCTGGCTACCTTGTCTGACAGGGCGAGGATCGCGACATAAATCAGCTAGGGTCTAGGGGAACAGGGCTGGATGCCCATGCTATCCGTTTCCCATTCCCAGAAACATGAGACTGTTTGTCTAACAAAACACTCACTGAAAGAGTGTTATGAGGGGTCAGTAAAGAATGACCCAAAGTAGAGAAAAATGGAGAGGGGGTGAGCATTCACAAATG